TTACTCTTTCTTGTAGTGTCTGACCTGATAATCTGTCACTGAATTGGCTTGATTCATCTGATGTTATTAGTCTCTTTTGAACACATTTTTGTACCACATCATCAAACACAGGTCCATTATTAAGGACCCCACTTAATATTCCTAGGTTATCCTTAATAGCTTTTTGTGCTGAAGACTGAATTGAAGACATCTCTCACTATATGCTTCAAAACTGAAACAGGATAGTTCTTTGTTCAATGTCACAATGAACTGTCAACTGTGGTGAGGCTCAGGGGAGGCACCTTATCTAATCTATAGGCTTTATCCAGTGCCCACAGTTACTCCAGGCTTGATGAAATTCATGATTCCAGCTCCAGTGGTGTATCAATCATGCACTTAAATTGAATTTTGGAATTATCTCACTTGTTTTCAGCATGCAATCTACTAAATTATTTTTGTCATAAAAATAGAACAAGCTTGCAATGCAGCAACAAAAAAATTAAAATCATATATAGATCTACCCAAAAAGTTTTTAAGAGCAGCATTACAAAAGCAAAAAATACACACTAAAATCTTTTGGTTGCAAAAATGACTCTCAAGTTACTTTTTAAAGTAAAATTTCCCCCTCAAAGTGCTTCTGATTTCGAGCATTTGATGATACTTGTACAGCAAATTATAATCAATAGGATTCTCGGATACTTTGTAATTAACGAGAAGTAGGAGCTCATAAAGACTAAGCTTGGAAGAATGCTTGGAAATAAATTCACACAATGCTTTTATATATTGTGAGCCAGTGTAGACACCTCTTGCAGCAACGTTACCATCAGAAGTGCTAAAACCAAACAAGAAGTCGGCCTCTGGTGGTAATGCTTGAGTAATACCATCAGCAACCATCTCTTCTTTTTTTGGAGGCCAGGGCACAGACGAATCAGCAGTTGAAGGCCCTGATACTTCAATCCCTTGACAAGCTTGAAAGAAAAATACTACGGGCTTTCCATGAAGTGCTGGACATTTTGTAGAATTTCAACTTTTAGCCAATTCAGGCACAGTAACAGTTTCACCATCAACTCCTTCAATCCCTTTTGGATTACCATGAGACAGAATGCAACATATGAAACTATCATGTTTCTTGGTCACTAACCCAGCAGCAATTGCACTAACTTTTGTTCTTATTTCTTCAGCCAGTAAATCTTCATGAACTATCACTTAATAGTGAATGCCTTCAAATACTTTCTTTAATCTTTTAGCATCTTCATTTGATGATTCATGATCAGCTTTATCTTTCTCTTTAAAGTAGACATTATTGATAGTCAGCACGACTCCATGTTCTCCTGTCTCGTTGACTTTATACTTGTACACAATATCATCTGCAAGTTTTTCTTATCCTTCTTGTCTCTTT